TGGCGAGCCTATGCAAAAGGTTTGGTTAAGATGTGTCAAATTCCACCAAAGATACAAATGGAACCTAAACATACATGTCGTCCAACTATATTTTCCAAATTGTCCACACTAACTATCCTTCTATAATCAGTTAAATTGCAGATAAAAGATTTTCCAAATAAATCACTCAATCAGAACAATGAATTAACAACTGGACCCCAACTTCAATGAGTAGAAAAAGGCATACCAAAAGTAACGGCGATAAAAGAGCCGGCCGGCACAACAAACGATGTAATCTGATTGACGGGAGTTTTGGACAAAGCAGTCTCGCGCTGAGACTCCGCGTAAACCCTGCGCCCGCCGGCTCCGCGCCTAGGACCCTCCCCGGCGGGGTAAGCCGCCGTTATCATAAAGCCTCCGAGTCCCAAACATCTCCTGCTGGTGGCAAATGGCACCGTATTAGGAAACAGCGAAACGCGGCAGATGGCAGCGCTGCCCAACGGCTCAAACTGCAGCTGGCGTCTATGGCGGTGGGACCCGAGAAAAACCTGCAAAATCAACGTATAAAATACATAAGAGGCACTCTCTTTTTCCTTTATCTAACGCATAAGAACTGGAGCGAGCTTATAGTGTTCGAATATGTGTCTTACCTTGGGGTGAGAGCACAGAGAGATGGGATTGACAGAAGTGGACGCCATAGACAGTGACTTAAATGCACATATGAGTAACGGGTTCTTACCCTGAACCTAAAAGAGAGATTGTTAAGAATTGAGCAAGAAGGAACAGAGAACGAGGTGGAGTTGACAGAGATACACAGTGCAGGCGGTGCAGCGTACTTAGCGGCGGTAGGTGGGTGTCCTGCACTTAATCGTATGCCGAGTAGGGAGGAAATAATACGGTGAATCGATAAACTTTTTGTTATCGGAGAATGATGGAAAAGTCACAATTCAAAACCGGGGTGAATTTTGTTGGGCTTAGCTCTATTTCCTTTGCTTTTGGGCTAGATGCTGCCCATATTTAAGGAAGAAGTCCGCCGTGACTCATATTTATAATATAGTTTTTGGGAGGTTAAATATTTTACAATTTCTTTTTAAATTAATATTTTATAATTATTTTTCAAAGTCATCTATGTATTTTTAAAAATAATTCAAATAAAATTTTTTTATTAAAAATAATTTACTTTATTAGTTAAGTCAAACATATATTACGATGTGGCATTATTATTAAAATTTATTGACATGTGACATATATTATATAATTTTTAATAATATAATTAATTTATTAAAAATTAATTATAATCTCGCCAACCCACCTCTTATTATCTTTTTCACTCTATATAAATAAGAGAGTTTTCTCAATACAAAAAAAAAAATAAAGGGAGAAAGTGAGGGAGAGAATTGAGAGATAGAGTGAGTGTTGCTTATTTTTACTATTTACATGATTGTATAAATGATTGTATGTAAAGTTAGAAATTTTGTGAATGTAAAAAAAGAACACAATTCGTTTAAATTTTACAAAAGGTCTTGTAAATAATTTATTTATATTTATTGCTAATGATAATATATCTTAAATGTAGTTGCAAATCCACCGTCAAAAGGTCTCTAGCTTGCCTCATTTCTCTAATTGCCTAGCACCGCGAGTGTATCATGTCGTTATTGCTCCCAACAGTCTTGTTATGTACAAGTTTTATTTTGTCATTTCCATTGTCAATGTTGTCCTTAACTGTTGACATTCGCTCCCTCTTATCTTCTCTCTTACATTTACTTTATTTCTTTCTTTCTCTTTCATTTATATCAATAAGTAAAAAGTATAATATAAAACATATATATTATTATTAATTTTTATTTTCACTAAATTAAATATTATTTTATTTAAAAAATTTATATATATTGTATGTTATATAGATATTATGTGAAGTTCATATATTAAAAAAAAATTAATAATTTATCATGTTATAATATACATTTGACTTAATTAATAGCATATCAAATATTGAATTGATATAAATTCAGCCTGAATCGAATGGAATCAAAAAATTTTATTTGATCTTAAAGTGGACCAAAATATGCTCAAATTTTTAATTTTTAAATATATTATTTATATATCAATACTTTAATTTTGAATATTAAATAACATATATATTACATTTTAATATATTATTTATATAATATTTAGTTAAAATATATTGATCGGTACATGCCAAATTGGACCAAATTTAAACTAAATACAACTGAAATTTTTGGTTCAAAAATTTTTGAAATGAAGACCAAACCAAACATTATTTGGTCTTGATCGAATAATGTTCATCCCTAATTAAATGGGTTTATCATTCAGAATGGTTTAAATTTATTTACTTTGTCAAATTAATCTTATTAATATATTTAATGCATGGTTCGAATAATTTTCACCCCTAATTAGATGGGTTTAACATTTAAACCGGTTTAAACTAGTTTAATTTGTCAAATTAGTCTTATTAATATATTTAATGCCTTAGATATGTGAATTTATTAAAATACATGCATAAGAATATATGTATAATGGATATAATATAATATAATATAATATATAAATTATACATATTATAATATGTATTCAATATATATATTAGATGAGTTAGTTCAAATTTTTTATTAATTAGATAATTTAATTTTGTATGATAAATAGGTCAAATGAGTCTAAATAAATTGATCTTATAAATAGGTCGTTTACATGTTTATAAATCATGGCGTGTTTACTTAATAGATTGTGTATGTATTTATATATCATGGCCTATTTACTAAACAAGTTATGTAGGAGTTAAAACTAATAATCATTTGCACAATATATTAACACAACTCTACACATTTTACCACTCCCTTGATATGAAATAATTAGTCGATACCATGTATTATAATCTACAAGAAATAAGATCAAACTTAGAGTTTTGCCTGAATTTAATTTTCAGTTAATAGGTAGATTAATGTTCATGTCTGAAATTTATTCATAGATTATGTTTTATAATTAGTTTGAGTTTATTTATATTAAAAATTATAGTCAAAGTTACATTATAGTTATGAATTGGGACTATATTCAATATCGAGAATTATATATAGCAAAATTTATCTCCCAATTCTTTTATATTTTAAAGATTAACTTAATTAATTATTAATTCAATTATTATACCGTGTAATATATGAAAGTTACGAGTAAATATTTCTACTATAAAATATCAATGATAGTTTTGATTTCATCTGCGTGCTTATTTAAAAAATAATTATTTTTATTAAAAATATTTAATATGATTCAAAATGTAAATTTATAAAATATAAATAAAAATATAACATAAATCGTGTCTTATCTCTTTTCTTTTCTTTTTTTTTTTTTTGGGTTAAATTTCGAAATTTTCTGCATCTTCTTCGAAGTAACAGAACCAATATTTATTTATTTATTTATTTTTTAAAAAAGAAGACTATTAGACAAGGAGCAATTTGGAGTTAAAAGTCCTGCAGCATGAAAATTGCTATTTTTATTGGGGAAAAATAATATTTAAAAATCTGAGATTAAAAGAAATTGAAAATGATGGGATCATATTTCCCTTATCATCCAATACATGACAACCAATCAAATCATGCACTTATCCTCGGAATCTTCTTATTTAACGTTCTCGATTTCCTTCCCAAAATTCAGTGACTCAAACTCTTGTAGATGTATGCATGAGAGGATTACGATCAAAATCAAATCCAGAATCCGACTTATTCTGGAAACTGGGTATAAACCTTCTCCAATTTAGTACATTTTCCAATACAGCGTCTGCCTCCTTCCTTCTCTATATATACATCGGCTTCAATCAAATCTCTGATATCTCCAACCTCCATAGTTTCGTAGCTCATAAACCCAATTTTACAGAGAACCCGCAGAGATGGCCGCTAATTCAGGAATCAAGGCAATTATCGTCTTGGCGTGTTTCGCTATGTTGATGGCGTTTGCTTTAGCGCACGAGGCTCATCATCACCACCACAAGCCAGCTCCTACACCCAGCCCTACACCGTCACCAGTCCCGGCTCCGGCTCCCGGCGCACCGACCTCTTTTGGCACCGCCATGTCGCCCTCCGTGCTGGTTGGACTCTTTAGTTTCATCGCCGTTGCTTTTGGTGTGAGAGACAGGGTCTGATCCGGTGATTGATTACCTTAAGTTCCTCGATCGGTTTTATGATATGATTAGTTTTTATTATTTGTTAGTTAAATGTTTATGAAAAATACATTATTATTATTATTATTATTATCTACTGTTTTAGCTTTCAATAATTTGTGTAATGTATGTGTTTAACTAATTCACTTTAGATAGAATTGAGAGCTGTTGTTTGTTTGATTTGTAAAAATATAATATTACTTAAAAGTTACATACTAATTTTTACTTATATTTAAAATTTAAATATTTTTTATTTTTTTATAAAAAAATCTTAAAACAATTAAGTTAAATTTGATATGCAATTAATATAAGATAAAAAATTTATTTTAATTCAAATATTATTTATAGATTCTAATTCTCTAAAATTAAAATTAAACGGTGAAAGCATCGTTTTTCTACCGACGGCGACTTTTGATGCGTGTGGAAAAATCATTTGGGAGAAATGTTAAAATCGACGTCGTTTTTACGAAAACATGCATTATTTAATTTTTTAAATAAAATGGAGACGAATATTTGTGACCATAAAATATTTGAAGGAAACGATAATAATAATATTTTTCATACATTCTAAAAAATAAATAATGAATAAGACATCATCATGACCAATCACTCCATATTTCATTATTTGCCTTTTTAGAGATTCTTGTAATATTATTATTCATCTATTGATTCATATATCAAAATTATTATACATTTGTCTCTTAATCATTTGTTTTATTGAAGGAGGTATCTAATTCTTTTTTATAATATGAGTTATATATTATACAACAACAATAATAATATAAACAAAAATTGCCTGGATAGTCCATGGAATCCAATTCAGAAGACTACCTCAATTTTTATATATATATTAAAATACTAAACAGCTTGAACAATGGGATAAATGAGCTTAACTTCAAAACAATTGCAAAAATGGGATGAAAAATTCTACAACAATGGGTTTAAACCATTTGCTTCCTTCCTCTTCCTGCAACACAGCTCCACCATATCCCACAAACAAACCACCCAGAAAATTAAACTGCTAATTGAAATTGGAATATTTACTAACCTTAAAACATATCTAGCGGTATGAATCCAATTCTTTAGCTGAATTCCAAAGATATGAATGAGCAAATGCCGCATATATGGATGCTCCTACAGGAAGCACATCCTCATCGACAGTGAAGTATGGGCTGTGCGGAGGATATACTGATCCTGTTCTCTCATTTTTTATGCCCAACAGTAGGAAGGATCCAGGTACTTTGTCTAAGTAGAATGCAAAATCTTCACTACCCATGAAGCTAGGAGCAAGTTTTATGTTTTCTTCCCCTAATATCTCACCGGAGACGTGTCTTACATGCTCATAGATTTTCTCGTCATTCGTTGTTGGTGGGATTGTTGGATGTTCACTTCCCGAGAAGTCGATCACAGCAGAGCACCGATGTACAGCTGCCTGTGCTGTAATAACCTGGCACAATAATCTGATATCAAAACCCATTCACAGAGAGTAGACAGGTATATCTGA